CGCATAGTGGGATTGACCGTCACATGATAACGCCCCCACGGCTGAAAGGACGAGCATGTTTGGTATGACGGGGATTCGAATCCGCGACCCTCAGATTGCGAGTCGAGCGCCCTAACCACTTGGCCATTGATGTAGGGATGGCAATGCCAAAACATATAGAAATAAGGTAGGGATGAATACAAAAATCACTACACAAGTAGCCAAATCTTTCCGAAAATAACTTATCTACAACTAAATGTTGAACTCCTGTCAATTGCATTAATTCAGGTTTGAATATACCATTTAAACTTGATAGCGCTATACAGTCTTACAGTGGCTAATAACTATGCGTTTGTAAGATTGACTCAGTACTTATTGGATATTTATGTGGGGATTTGTTATGGTTTTGTGTATTCATCCCTACCTTGTTTCTGTACTTTTGGGCATTGCCATCCCTACATCATGCTTAATTTTTGTAAATTTCTTGTCTATTTGTTTCCCCTCCATCTTAAGACCGCGAAAAAATTAGGGTATTTTACTAAACGTTAGGACGAAAAAATATTAATAAACGTATAATCGAAAAAGCGCAATAGTAATGATTAGTAAACAGTTTAGCTACATTAGTTGAGCTGCTTTCAACACAACTTTCAGGTTTTCAATCGGATACCAGGAAGCAGTATGAACACATACACAAAAAAAGAAAGGAATATGCTATATTTGCCATGTTTGTCATCTTTGTGATTCATTACCCTCATGCACTGTACCTACAATCCATATTAACTACAATAGAAAGCTTAACAGTTTTCAGTTGTCAAATCAAGTCTTAAAACTAATTTTGGATTTGGATTACATTTGAGGCCAATGAAACTGGAAGGTTCCTTCATTACTGTAGAAGTACCCTGGAGCGCTGGACCACTATATAATGTATTATTTTCATAATAAAACATTTTGTGCTGCCATCCAGCGACTAGAAATTAAACTGTTATGTATGAAACATGGGAATAATATATGCTTATAAACTGAACTCACAAAAATACGTGTGGAAGAAGATTAGAATAATACTACTGTTATACAAGCTGTGAAACACTCAATAATGGCAATTAGGTGCTCAAATAAGACTATAAGTTAACTTTAGAAGTTATTTGTAAGCATCATAGGTTAATAGATCGAATGCGACAGCCATTTTTTTCTCGGCCCATCCCTACATGATAAGCACTTACCGTGCTTAGTGATAACCACATATTTTCATAAAATTATGTAATTTAGAAAATAACAAAATAATTAAAAAGCCAGTTTACTATGCTGCGAAAACAGAATAACTATTAAACGAAAATTAAACAATTAATTAATAATTATATTTACAATACATTTTTATTTTTATTGCTTACTTAAAGTAAAATCTGTGATACATGAATAGTTACTACAAAGTCTAACCGTTATACAACACGTGACGTTATTTGAAACTATAAATATTCTTGTATATAATAATGTTTATACACTTTTCAGTATAAGATGTTCAAGTCCAGAGATAGTTGTTTAATGTATTACCAACATAGTTGTATGTTTAACCTTATCAACTTACATCATTAGAAACAGTTATCGATCATTTCAGAGAGTGCAGATTCTGGATCCTTTTGAACTGCTGCAAATTTTTCAGCGACACATTGATTGATTTCCTGCATGCATAGATAAGTAAGACTTAATGTCATGTAAGATATCACAAGATTAGAAGTTTGTAGAATCATAAAATGTATTTGTTTAAAACTTCAGAACTGAATTATAGTTCTGTTGTAGGATATCACATATAACACCGTCCTGGGTGACTATAAAGTTACTTCATGCATTCTTTTCTTTATAACTCCCAAACTGTAACGTATATGTTAGTTAAACACACTTCCAGAGTTTGAAGACTTTTCCTCCTGAATTTTATATCCGTTTAGAGTTTAAAAATTAACTTAGTTAAAACGTCTACACTGTAAGCAAATCTATTTGATTAAGTTTTTATCGTCAATGTTAAAAACAACGGAATAATTTGAATAATCGCCAGCTTTTGGTTATACATTTATTTAAAGAAAGAAGACGTTTCGAGCTAACGCTTTTCATCAGATCGAAGAGCTTGGTTGTGAGCTGTACGATCTGACCAAGAGTGCCAGCTAGAAAGGTCTTCCTTTTTTAAATAAACATATAACCAAAATTAGACGATTTGTTCAACGTATTCTTTGATTTCGATATCTTTGTCGCCTATGCGGTTTTAACAATAACAATTTTTTCCTGTATTACTTCATTGTAGAACATTTTAGGATGAATAATTAAAGATATTTGAGAGATTAATTACATAAACGTATATTAAATATATATATATATATATAATAGTTCGTAATTACCTGTACATCAGCATATTTTTCTTTTTGCACAATTCATTCAAGTAATCTTCATACTTCTCGTAAGGAAATTTTGCAAATTCACACTCTCGAAGTGCATCTTGAAGCTTGAGATGAAAAATGCTTTCTGATAAGATCAACTTTTATATTACATTCTACAACTTTGCTTTCTGCAACATTTAATTATATATTTAAATTTATGGTCAGAAACGATATAATTGTTCTAAATTGTATTACAACTACTCATTTCTCTTCTGTTTCTTTACAATCAACTTAATATGTTTATTTAGACATAAACAACTGCTTATAAACTGAAAAAGTATGCAACATTCTTGAAACAAAGACGGAAAATGAAAACATAACTAAAAGAAGGAAAACCAAATGAAAGTCTTATCGCACCATTCTAGATATGTGAGTTATGTCTTCTCTCCTAGTTTAAAGCTTGTTAAATATTAGTTACAAATAGATGTTTGATTTCTGTACGAAATAACTTAAAATACTTTTCTATCGTACTTGAATATTGTCGTTTCAATACACTTGTTTTTTGTGTTTGTTGTTTGTTTCTTTTAGTCACACAATATCCTATCTATGCTCTGCAAAATGTGGGGAATCGAACCACATATTTTAGTCTTGTAAGTCCATAATCTTACCGCTGACCCAACAGGAAACTCTGCTTCTTAATATTCTTATTCAATGCATTAAATTACAATTTGTATGTCTTTATTCACACATTCACTGATTATAAACTGAAAGTATTCTTGACACAAAAACAGAAAATGGAAACCATAATGGAAAAAAAGGAAAATAAAATTAAAATTAGCATTGTTCTAGACCTGTAATTTATGTATAAAGTTGATAGATTCACGTTAACAACACATTATTTACCAAATTACAATGAATTACCGAAACATGATTAATCATAATACCACAAATACCAACCCCATCTGACTTTTCTTTCAAGATTTTACCCATGCACTCTCTCATCTCGTTCACTTTTCCAGGCTTTTCTACTTTCGTCTCTGCATAAAAGAAAAACATGTTTGATTTACTTGAAGAGGATATTTTCTCATGTTACGAATTAGGTTTCGTAGAAAAGAAACACTTTATTAAATAGAAGGAAGAAGTTACCCTATTTTCCCCACTATAATATAGATTATAAATCATAGTTATGTATAAAAGTGTATAGCTTCAGTAGTCAGATTATTACAGAAGTTAATGTATAACACAGATGAAAGATGTCCGTTGAAGGTTCTTGAAGCTATGGCTTGACGTCCAATCTGAGGGTCGTGGGTTCGAATCCCCGTCTCACCAAACATACTCGCGTTGTCAGCCGTGGGGGCATTATAACGTGACGGTCAATCCCACTATTCGTTGGTAAAAGAGTAGCCCAGGAGTTAGCGGTGGGTGGTGATGACTAGCTACCTTCCCTCTTGTCTTTCACTACTAAATTAGGGGCGGCTAGCGCAGATAGCCCTCGTGTAGCTTTGCGCGAAATTAAAAACAAACAAATAAAACAATCTTAGAGCTACTGAAAATAGCATCGACACAAATGAGAAAATTTCATTCTTTTTTTAATACAGTTCTGCAATTGTGTGTATGATAAATATTGGCTTTAATGATAGTTTACTCTAGTTTTTTGTTGCTTTGTTTTATACTGCTAAGTACAGATATGAAAAGAGAACATTTATTCCAATAACGTTATTAATAGATATTACATAGACCAATAAACTTTGAAAATGAACTTACTACATATCATTTGCCAAGCTATTTCTATAATACTGCCTTTCGTCATCGTCAGGCTTATGAGCACAACAAGAGCTGCAAATAAAACTTTCATGTTGAGGATGTTGCTGTTGTAATGAAGATTTCAGCTTAGAAACTCCTTTTTTATATCATTCATCTAACTGCTTTCAGACAATAATTTAAACGAATTTCTAGCTATTCTAAAGTTAATAAATTATGTAATTTATTCCCCAATTATTGCACACCTCTTTTCGTATTGGACAAACCGCATATGGTAACAACCAATAACGGAGTGATGATACTAAACATAGGGGACTTAGTGTCATATGATAAGATCACGTGACTCGGATTTGTTCGTCTACAGTTTCATTCATTGTGGTAACTTCACTCTGTTTTAGCACGTTATACATGTTAGTGTAACAGGTAGAAAGATTGTTTGGTTGGATAGGTCTTTATGGTGCAAAACAGCAAGGCTATCTGCGCCAAACATCAGTTAAAAAGTGCAGAAAGAAATAAAACTCTGTAAAACATATAAAAAAAAACAAGCTAAAAGCGAAACGAAGACCAAACACCAGGTAAATAATTAAATAAAATAAAAACGGTCAATGGCCTATAAAAAGCTAAAAACACGATCAATCTGGACAGTGTTACCATCGCCAATGACACTGTTCAACATCGGGGGTAAACCCCAAGAAAAAACGTCTAAAATGGTGCTGTCACTCACAATCGCAACGACGACACGGAAGTAAAACGTGGGCAATTGTGACCTGAGTGTCACAAAGGCCACACAAGAGCCTTGCCCCAAGCATAAGGAAAAACATTTTCCTGTCAAATCCGGTTAAAATCAACCAGGAGAAGAGCAAGATAGGTAGGAGAAAGAGATGACGCAGTGAATGTCATCAGGTCTGACCGTATTCAATAAGCAAGGTATGACAAGTTAGCTAAACACAATTTATCTTTACCTGATGTTTTGTATTAAAAATGTATTCCTGTAATAAAAAAAACATCAAAGGAAACAATTTTTTTTAATATCTGCATTTTATTTTCTCAATAATTAAAACCTTGTGACTGGATCACTAGTTCACCCTACAAGAACTTCGATTGCGTTTGAAAGTGAAGATGAAATCACTACTGCTAAAACCATTTTATTTACTGTATTTTATGGTATATAGATTAGAATCTATCAAATATTAGGTAATAATCATCCAGTTCTATACACTTTCTGCTCTAGCTGCATTACATGAGTGGTTAACCCCTCGTATGTTGCACAAGGCAATTATGTACTTCAATTAATAAAATAACTGATAAAGTAATTAATGTTGATAAGGAGGCAGGGTTAATTATATTTCCAAGAGACAAAGCTTTTTAATAAACATGAACATAAGCATTGAGATGAACAAAAAATTCTAAAAAATACTAATAAATTCCATGTTTGCAGGAAAGTTTAATTAGAGATACCCAGAAATCAGATTTGTAACACCTTTTTCGTGAAGAGATTTAATTTAATGGCAACTGTCTGTTGTAGAAACACAAATATAGAGGACGATGTTTAGAAAGTCTTCTTCTGCCTTTCATCTTTAGGTCAGAAGACTTTTAAATCGCTGTCCTTTATAATTTTGTTTCTACAACAGGTAATTGCTCTCCATTTAACTGGAGTTCATCATGAATATTCTGTCTGAACAATCTATCAAAAAACAAATTTTCATACTAATGTACAAAATATACTCATTAAATATTACTTAATACTAAAGTATCAATCCTAAAATATATATAAGTGATGATAATTGATATATATATATATATATATAGAATTACAATTATTTTTTACTCGAGTTTTGAAATTGTATTTTGTTTATTTGTAATTAAGCAAAAGGCTACACAATGGGCAATCTGTACTATTGTTATAAGACCATAGACATAAGCCTTCAATAGAGCAATGATCACCCAGATGTTTCCCAATTTCCACCCTCTCGATCATTTCTGTATTTGAAATTAACAATAAGTCTAAAATAGCATTGTTTCTTGTTGGTTCCTTGACTAACTGGTGAAGAAAGTGTAAGGAATTTGTTATTAAATCAACGTCTGTTTAGATTAAATTTATATTTTGAAACATACATAGCATATACTGTTAAATATGTATTGCGAAACTCCCGACTATTCACCAAAGTTGTAGAAGATTCTCCAGAGTAAGAATCAATAACATATGTATATACGTAAACGCTTAAATTTGTATTGTTACGTAAAACTTAAATTTCTGGAACGCCTACGCAGCTTATAAATATAACCAACGCGAAAGAGAGTATATATTATTAGTTCTCTGTAGTCGGTGTGCTATATACTTCGGAAGCTATAACTGCGATTGTTATAACGCTTATCAATCGGAACACTTGAACCAGGAACGTTTATAAATTTCGAACATTACAAATCACTCAACTTCACATCGGACATTAGTACTTTTACGAAAGCATTACCTAACGTCATCGGTGAAACTCGACCTGTAATCAGCGTGTGATTAGCGAGAAATACAGGGCCAGCTAGCTCCCTACTAAGTGAATTGTACCTATATCAACTCGTAATCAACTCGCTCATCGTGAACCCTCGATAAGATATTGTTGCGTCAGCGAGGTCACGTGACTAGTGTCACGCCCC